TGAGGAGACCTCGGAAATCTACAGGACCTCCTGTAGGTAAGTTCAGTACTTATCCCTAGCATAGGTGTGGACTTTGGGGGCCCAATCCACATACTGGGATACTCCCTGAGCCAAGACACTCTGGGGCGGGCCTAGGCCCTATCCCAAAGGCTATGATAGACTCTAATGACACCCATTGGAAGGCCTCACCATCCAGGGAGAGCAAAAAGGGTATGTGATAGGTAGGGTTATAGTTGGGGATGTGGTAGGGGAGGAGGGAAAGGAGTGGGAACTGGGATTGACAAGTAAAACAATCTTGTTTCTAATTCAAATAAAAAAAGAAATAAAAAACAGCCAACCACTGATCAGGGGAGGTCTCTCCTTGCTGAACTATTGGCTAATTATGGGCTGGGGTGTGTGTAATTATTTTCACATGTGTAGCTACTGAGTAGTCCACCAGGCTCCAGTTGTTAGTCCCATGTTCATGATCACATAGGCATCTCAGTTAAATTCAGTGGGACACACACACACACACACAAAGACACAAATGTGGGAAAGTGACTTTTGGAGGGGTACAATAGGTGGGATGGAGATAACATGAAGGGAGAAATGGGAAAATGGAAGGGGGCTCAAAGTGCAGAGGGGGTGGTCAACATAGGAGGAACAGGAAGGCAGAGGGATAAATAACACCAAGGATGCTTGAAAATGCCATAAGGAATCATATTATTTTATATTTCCCTAAAATACACAATATATATGTGTATGTTCATAAGAATCTATATAGTTTTTTTTCTCTCTTTTTATTATTATTAATTCAAGTTAGGGAACAGGCTTGTTTCACATGTAATTCCCCTCTCCCTCTCCCTCTCCCTCCCCTTACCCCCATTCCTTCTCCCCATATCTAACAAATCAGACTTAAAACTAAAATCAATTAAAAGAGATGAAGAAGGGCATTTCATACCCATGACAAGAAAAGTCCAACAAGATGGAGTCTCAATCCTGAACATCTATGCCCCAAATATAAAGGCACCCACATTTGTAAAAGAAAAATTACAAAAGTTCAAACCACAAATAAAACCACACACACTTATAGTAGGAGACTTCAAGGTGCACTTTTACCACTAGACAGGACCACCAGACAGAAACTTAACAAAGGATCTAACAGAAGTTATGACTTAACATTCCATCCAAACACAAAAGAATATACCTTCTTAGCACTACATGGAACCTTCTGAAAAATTGACCACTTAGATGGCAGCAAAGCAAACCTCCACAATTACAAAAGAATTGAAATAACCCCCTGTATCTTATCAGATCACTGTGCTTTAATGTTAGAATTCAACAGCAATATAAATTGCAGCAAACCCACAAACTCGTGGAAATTGAATAACACCCAATTGCACCATTCCTGGGTTG